TTTATTATAAAGCATTTATTTTGTTACATAAAAGTTTTCCGGCGTTGTAGTAAATGTGTCTTATAAATGCATTTATAAAGAATTTGGCAGTTACTCAAAACATTTAATTGACAGTTGTTACTTGGCAGTTACTCAAAACGAGATTACGTTGGAATATTCGATCAAAAATAATAAATGACTTATTGCCTTACTGTAAGATTGTAAATGAGATCATATTCGAATAACTCTTTTTACAACAATTTATCGCACGTTTTCCGTACCGCAAGCGTCGCTTCTCTATCGTTTGCGACTCACCTTGATCAGCCGCGATTGTGACGGTGATGAACGCCAGATAGGCGCATATCTGAATGAAAGAACGAGAGCCACGACGTGTCATGTTCGAGCAGTGTGAAAACTTGCGCGACTTGCGTCTGCGCTGCGTCATTTATACCTCGACCGGTGACCACGGTCTGGAAGTGGACACGATAAAGACGGAGAATATATGAATGACGCAGACGCAGGAACATGCGGTATTGGAAGAGGGGAAATAGTACGTGTGTGTGCGATAGTGAATTTAAACGCACATGAGAAACAGAATCAGAGAATATCTAGGAGGCGCAACAGAGAGGAATATGCGAGGGGAAATTCACAGCCGGCATTGGTGTACAAAATTTCGGCAGTGGACTGAAAAAAGTAAGTAGTGGCCTATCATATTGACGGCATTATGGGGAGTGGTAATAATGACTTGTGGCAGTGGCAGTGCAGGAGGTATTGCATAGCATTGCTAAGGCAGTGTCCGAATTTTATCCGGCATTGGCTCGGCAGTACGGCAGTGGACGCCCCTTACGTTTTTTTAGAAAATACGTATATCCGAATACCTAATAAATAGCACTATATTGACTACATCTTAAACAACGTTATATTTCCAAAATGTTTTTACGCTATCTTAAAGCAACAAAATAGCAACAAATTCTGGTATAAACGTTTATTCGATTTGAGAGCACTCTGTATATTTTTTTTCGCATGGGGGGGCCAGCTTGACACAGATTCTAGCCCCACCACATACTAAAAAACTCATTGAATTGGCTTATTGTTAGATTATTGTAGATTATGGCCGCGTTTCGAAGGACATTCGGCAAAAAGAGCAATCGACTACTTTTGCAGACTGTAATAGTGGTAATTACATGAAACAACTAAGAAACGATAAGCCACTGTTTAAGTAGCAGTTAAATGCAGGTAATTAGCTACGATAATGGCAAATACATGCGCAACGCAGCATTTTACTTGCTGAATTATGCGAACGTGTGTCCAATTATTTGTAACAATGTTCGACATTGAGCTTTATCGCTCGCGGAATGAGTAATATGATTCAATGTCATACAACACAACTTTAAAACTTGTTACCGGGTTCCAAACTTTTTTAAAGTGTTTGTTTAAAATTGTATTATTTGCCGTAAAAACACGCGATCGTATCATTTTATTATTTGTTCAATAACTATTATATCTTCGATACCTTACTTAATTATATCTTAAGGAGGTTCTATAGATAATGGATGTATCTAAAAATTGGAAAAAACTTTATGGACGTATAAATTGAGATGCGAGAAAAGTGCTCGAAAAATTTTAGCATCGGTTACCGTGTAAAAATTTGCAAAAATAAATTTTGAAATCACAGTTTTTAACATAAGCTACATATGGCAGAGGGGCTCTTGGAGACAGGAAACGAGATATTAATTATATAAAGGCGACCTACCAGAGATTCAAAAAACGGAGCTCTTATAGATCTTAATCTAAGCTTTTCAGAAATATCGAGAAAAACAAGGGTTATCGCGTAAAATTTTGTGATATTGGCTATTGAAACAGGCCATATCACAGTTCACGTAGCGTGCTTCGAATAACAAGGGAGATTTGGCAATGTCGCAGCGACTGCACCCGCGCGAAAAGTGTACAGCCAGTACAGCACCACAGTATGACAGCACCTCAAACTTAAGCACCTAACGTTTACGAACGCTTACGGAGAAGTACTCGCTCTAGAATTATGTGAAATTGTGAAATAACCACGGTCATATGAGCAGAACTGTCAAGTTCGCGACGTTACCACATTTTCTTCCATTATAAGCCGCCAGAGTCAAAGGAGCACTTACACGATATTTTTAATTATTCCTCGCTTTGACTAATATGGGTATGATATAAGCTCTAACGTCATCAAAATTCACGAAAATATTTTATGAATACTTAGAATCGATGAATTTGAAGATTTTCTCTTCATCTCTCAACTGACTAGAGAGTACCTGTAGAACCTCCTTAACTAGACACTTTAATAAATGTAATCAGTAAAAACAGTAATAAA